CAGTGCTTGGAGGAGATCCTCCTGCTGCTGAGGGAAACCCATTATGTGAGGAAATAAATTAATGTAGAGTTTAAGCTTTTATACTTTCTTGGGTATGTTTGTTGCACTAGCTAGCATCACCCTAACTAAGAAAGATGTACTAGGTTTAAAAATAGGAAGACTCAACATTCTAAAGATATCAGTAGTCTCCAGAATGATCTACAGATTTGATACACTTCCAGTGGAATTCCAGCAGAGCTTTTCATGAAGCTTGGCAAGCTGATTCTAAAGTTTATGTAGACTCACCAAGGGCCAAGAATGGCCAGGACATTTCTGAAGGCGAGCAATAGGAACTCTTATACACTGCTGCTGGTGAAAGGGGTGGTAATATAGTGCAATCCCTACGGAAAATAATTTGATAATATGTAGTGAAGTTGAAGATATCACATCTTTGACCCAGAAATTCTACCCTCTTACACATGTTCACTAGGTAACATGAAAAATGATGTTAACAGAAGCATTTCTGTGATAGCACACAATTAGATACTAGACAAATGTCCATCAAGAGCATAATGAACAGAAAAAATCATGGCATGTTAATCCAATGGTGTATGACAGCAGTGAAAATAAATGTACTACAGTAAGGATTAAATTTACAAATATGATTTTAAGTAAAAAAAGACAATTTGCCCAAGAATAGATATGATAAGATTTATCTAAAATTTTTAAAATGAGAACTATATGTTATTTAAAGTTATTAGATATATGATAAAATTAGAAATGAATGCAAGCAAATGATAAATACAAAAGTCAGGGTGATGGTGACCTCTTGGCAGTGGGCAGGAAGACACTCTGGGAGGAGCACATAGGGCTTCCGCATTGCTTCTAATTATTAAACTGGTGGTGGGTACAGGGGTGTTTTTATTCTCATGCTTTATAACTTGCATATATGTCATATTATTTTATATGTATCAAGTATTTCGTAACTTGAAAACTAAAAGTAATCATTGGCTCCAACTATATTTGTTTTTGCCAGACCATTATTAGCTGTACTTAGTAAGTGACAGTTTAGCTTTTCCCACCAATATGCCTAACATATGTTCCTTCTTTTCCCTTAAAATCTTCCACTTCCTCATCAATTGACCTATAATGGGAAGGTTCCCTTTGAAACCTGGTTCAAGTCTTACTTACCTCAAGTATCCATGACCTTCTTAAACTTTAATTTTCTCATCTTTAACATTGGAACAATAGTCCCTAGCTCACAAAGTTGTTGTGAAGATTATATATATACATATACATGTATATGTATCTTATTGAAACTGATGTTAACAGTTATCTCTTCATTCAGATTTTTTCATCAAACGTGTTGAACATCTGCTGTATTATAAATGCTGTAGGGGGTACAAGACAAATAGGATATAGTGCCTCTCCTCATTTATTCACACACAACTAGACGATGCTGCCATATGGGATGTAATCATGGAATATAAACAGTGTTAAAGAACCTCATAGGAGAAAGGAATTGGTTCTGTAAATTCAAGGAAGGCTTCAAAGAGGTGGTGGCATATGACATGAGCTTCCAACAGTTTTCTCAGTTTGTTCTTATATATGCAAAGCTCCTCTTCATCTTGTCCACTTTCTCCTAAACACTCTAAGTGTTTCAGGTGCATCACCGCACCCCCATGAAGAAAGGGTGTTGCTATGAAAGACTCATCCATCCCAAATGTTAGCCTCTCGCACTCTCCCTTCCACCCAGTGGAAGCCGTCCACGGTTGCCTGTTTCAGTGGAAGGACGTTAGTATCACAAGGACATGAAATCATCTTTGGTTGTTGGTAGACAGGATAAACAGATTCCATTTTACCCTTGTCTAGACTTGGGCAAAGAAAGTGCCCTAGAAATGCCACATAAATATTTTTTTGGAATGTTATGTCTCCATGAATCATCTGGCTTAATGAGACTGGTCATTTTATATCCATTTTTTATGTGACCAAGAGAACCAATATCTGACAAATTCACTGACCCAGAGAGAAACTTCTGGGAAAAAGCTAATGCTTACTGGACACCAGCTCCAGCAAGCCACAATGCTAATTTTTCTATTTCTGAATGATGCAATCATCACTGCAGATTTAGAAGCATCTGAAAGCCTTATAGTTTATTAAAATCTTTGGAGACAATGTTTTTAAGCTTTCAGCATAATGTAAGCTGTCTTTAATACTGAGAATTTAACCTGTGTGAGGCTTCTCCAGAGATGATTCTTGAAAGCTCAGTTTTGCCAGTAGAGTTTAAAAAGAAAAGGGGGGGGGGGCTATTTTCTTTCTAGAATGATCCCTTTAAAACATTAGTCGAACCATGCATACCCCTTCTCTTAATCTCCAATGGCCTCTTAGAAAAAAAAATCTGAAGTTCTTTCTGTGGCTTACCAGACCACTACATAATCTGCCTTCACTTCCTGCCTCTCTTCCCCTCACGCACTGTGGCCCAGCCACAGTGGCCTTCTTTCCTTCCTTGAACATACCACGCATGTTCCCAAAGGCCTTTGTGCCAGCTCTTCCACTGGCAGAATCACTCTGGCTCAGATATTTACAGAGCTCTCTTTCTTATTTCACTCAGATTTCTGCTCAAATGCTACTTCAAGGGACTTTTCCTGATCACTCTATTTAAAGTACCATTCATGCTGATCTCTGCCTTATGTTTCTTCATAGCATATGTCACTATCTGGTGTTATTATGTATGATATTATATTTTTTTGCTTGTTCTCCTCATTCTCTTCAATGTAAGCTCTGAGAAGAGAGGGGCTTTGTCTGTATCCTGGTGCTTGGTCATAGTGGTATTCAATAAATATTCATTGAATGAATAAAAGAAGGAACTTACATTTCTGTTGCCTAGGATAGATAGAGTTAAAAAAAGACTGAGGCTTCGAGGTAATATCCATGGTGGTACAAGACAGAGGTAGTGTGAATTTTTCTAGAAAATACACAGAACTTGACGTCAGAAGATCTGGGGTCTTCTGTACTAGGCACATGACTTTGGATAGGGCCAAGTGTCAATTTCCTCTGACCAAATGAATTAGACTAAAGTTCATAAGATCAAAAGAGATAAAGAAAGTAGTAAGTTTTCATAAATCTTAATAGAATTTTTGCCATCTCTTTGGGCCAATATACGAATATTACAAAAGCAAAACCAAATTAAAACTTACCACTTTCAGAGCTAGAAAAACTCTTCTAAATGTTTAATGAACTTTAAGTCATCTTTAAAAGGAAATCAAATGCAATGAAAAAAATGAGTCAGAAAGCTGTTATAAGACAACAAAATATAATATTTCCATATATGCATGCATATAAATGCAGTTATGAGCATTGTTTTCTTGTCTCTTAAATTTCAGTCTTTATAAAATTAGTATTTTCATATTGGTTCTTTCTCTAAGGAATAAGTAGAAATGCTAATCTCAGCTGGTTACAAATTTTAATTTCATAATATCCCCAGCCATCTCTTAGATATAATCTTTGAGTCATTCTGTGTAGATAAAACAGTAAAAGCCTACTTCAAATTAAGTTGTTTAAATTTCCTTTTTCTAATAAAGAAATGCTTGCTGTTGTGTGATAAATACTAAAAAACATTAGTAGAAAGGCAGATTTCTAAAAGATTTATTTAAGGTGAAATGAAGATTTTAAATATTAATATTTGAATAAATAAGTGAGGGCTAGATTTTATAGTTCGGTAACTCATGCTTTTTTAGGTGAGGGCCTATTTTGATATGTTAGCCTTATTTAGTTTTTTAACCAAGATTGTTGCCATATTATTGAGATAGTCCATGCGTAGTGAAGCTATTAAAATGTGCATGTTGAAGCCCAGGTATAGCTTGTGTGTCTGTTTACTTGAAGGAGATAGAGGGCAATTTTATTAAAAGAATATCTGTATATATTGGAGATGAAAAATACATGCTAAACAGCCCCTGTGGAAGGAAATAAACTGTTCGGCTTGCGGGGCAGGATTTCAGTCGTAGACACTGCCTCAATTCAATGAGCGGGTCTTCTGTTGCTCCGACCTTCTTTCTTCTCTCTATTCTGTGCGCAGAGTTCATTGAATAGAGTCTCAGAGAAGGGGAGGGGCCTATTCTGAAAAGACAGATGAGGGTAGCACCAATTCGTTACCCCAAGAGAGTTCCCAATCGTCAGTCAAGGCCAAGTTCCTAATGACATCTTCCCCAAACATCTTCTCACTAATGTTGCAGAAGTACATGTTTTTTGGCCCTCTGAGTTTACACTTTGCATAATCTTCTACTGTATCACGTGATATAGTGTTAATCAGGTATGTGTAAGTATTGCCAACACTCTGAGCTTCTCCTAGTCAACTCTGTATCTGTAAGCCTAGCACCTGGCCTATACTGGATGCTGACTATCTGTTCAGAATAAATAAGTTAATGCAGGTGCTATCCACCACCCACCTCCCTGAGAAGGACTGAAAGTGTACAGAGCCCAGCCAAAGCTGAGATGGGATGATCCTGGGCTTTTTCTTTGGACTGCCAAAATTTAAAGGGTGCAAACCTTATGCGAATGGTTTTTAAAGACTGTCTAGAATTTTAAGCCCCCCTTCTCAACAATAGTCCCTTTCCAAACTCTCAATTCTGCTATTATTTTTCCTTTTATGATGGAGCTTGAAGTGCACAAGTGTCCATCACTTCCCCCTCTTCTCCTCTTCCCAATGATTACCACCATTGATTTGAAAATTATTTGTCTGCTTGCCCTGCGCTTCACATTTGTTGTTACTAAACCATTCCTCTTGTCTTTTAGCGGCCATGGGCATAGAGGTGTGTTCATGGAACTTTCTCCATTATAACTAGATTTACACCTGGCCCTGCAAAAGAATAAATGAGAGGGTCAGTGGGGTGTGTGTGTGTGTGTGTGTGTAGTGTGAAGGGGAGGGTGGAGGTGTAGAAAGAAGATTGGAGAAGTTAGGGGGAGACTTAAAGAAGAACATGAATTTTATGGTCTCTGAAAATTTCTTTGACATTCTTTTCCAGGTTGACTTTGGATTTGCTAAGAAAATAGGATCTGGACAGAAAACATGGACATTCTGTGGAACTCCAGAGTATGTAGCTCCTGAAGTCATTCTTAACAAAGGACATGACTTCAGTGTGGATTTTTGGTCCCTGGGAATTCTGGTGTATGAGCTCCTAACGGGCAAGTAAGTGCCTCCAAGTTGTGTCCAGTCTCTTCTTCAGAGAAGGGCAAAAATAACTTAGTAATGATAAAATATGTAACTTAAGAGCTTAACATTTTAATTAAATATGATGCCTTTTCCTCTTTACTTTATTTCACATAACATGGAGAAGAGATGCAGGAAGGTGCAGGAAAGGAGTACAGAATTGCTATGGGTTACCTAAAATGGCAAGGCCTGTTATTGTAGATAACATATTAAGTGTGTGAAGGTTTTGGTAATCCATCATAAGAATAAGAAAAGGAACTGAGGTTGTAGGCTGTTATTATTTCATCTTGTATATATTTTTTTAATTGAGCAAATAGCAATCATGAAATCCATTGATCAATTAAACTAAGTTTAACATATTCTTCCATCTTCCCAATAAATCATTAACCAGAAATGCTAAGAGAAAGCAACATTGCTGGATTTAAATTTTAATCCCCTGTCAACTGCTTTCTAGAGGTGCTAATGAACAGAGACAAGACACAGCAGGAGTTCTAGCAGTTAAAATTGAATCGTCATTCCTGAAGAGATTAAAGGGCTGCATTAATGAATCCAAGACCTCATATATTCAACACGAGTGCACACGTGCACACACACACACACACACACACATGCACTTATATACACACTTGCACGTACACGTATATAGGCTATATGTAATAATATCACACATTTGTAAAGCATTTTTACAGTTTATGAAGCACTTCTATGTATATTCTCTAGTTTAGTTTTTACAAACTTGTGTGGAAGTTAAAGCAGGAATTTTTATTATTATTTTATGATTTAAATTTTATAGATTAGAAAACTGGATAGAGAGCTACCTGCCTGAGATCAGGGATTTGATCGCAGGTCTTCTGACTCTAAATGTGACATACTTTCCATTACATACATGTGCCTTATATATATTTGTTTTTAATATAATGCTTGACCACACACACACAGGATTCAGACCAGTTTTCTTTCCAGTTTTCTACCTCCATTCCTCAGTAACTGATCTGATCATCCTCATAAAACTTTATAACCAAATATTCTCAGTCTTAATTTCAGGGAGGATTTGCATATGGAATGGCATAAGAAATACTGGAATGAGCCCATTGATGAGGGATTCAAGTTTCAACACATACTTTACAAAAAGAGAGTTTCATAGAATCTTCTTGAACTTTTTACACTACAAATTTCAATGTTATATTACCCCTGGCTACATTCTACTTCCTTGGCCACATGCATTGAGCAAACAGATAGGAAAGATTATTTTATATTATCTGTAATCATTTTCAAATATTCATGCTTAAGATTTTGAAGTAAAAAAGAGAAAAATTTCCAGACCATCATTCAGAGAGAAAGTTGCTTAAGGTCTTGGGACACAAGGAATTCTACTTCAAGAATCTGTTTCCTCATCCCTGGGAAATTTGTCAGCTGCATTTCTAAGAAATACATCATGGTTCCTGTAGGTCACTGGAGAATGTACATCTCAGTATTCTTCAGCTGAATCAATTGTTACAAGGAGTAGGGACATAAATTGAGGCAATAAGGAAGAGGGGGAAAAAAAGCCAATAACTTGGAGTTGCTGAAGTGGCCTTGAGCTGTCATAAAGAAGTTGAGAAATTGTTTTTGTAAAGGTTTTCAGGGTAGGGTGTGAGAAAAGTTAATGTTAAATGCCCTGAAGTTGAGAGAGTCAGGAGTAAATGAAAATGAGAAAAGAACTAAAAACAAAACACAACATAGTTGTAAATATATAAATAAGTTGAAAATACTATAGCAATGGTTCTGTTTCCTCCCTCATTTTCTTGACAGGTGAAATATAGATTATCGAGAAGTTGGTGCATCGGCCTTGTTTCAAGTTTATTACTAAGAGAGGGAACTCTCAATATCAAAAGGTCCCAAGCATGACCAAGATACAGCGGAGTAGTTCATGAAAGCCTTCTTTAATTTTCAAAAACTAAATGACACAATAGAATAGATTATTAAAGTGTTTTTAAAAGCAAAGCATATGCGTTAAAATGTTATCTAAATTTAACGGTCAATTCCTAATGCTTTCTTACTCATCTTAGCAACACTTTCCATGAAATACTTTCTTCACATGGCTTCTAGGATCTCTCTCTCTCATTTCTTTTCCCACACTGGTGGCCCCTTCTCAGTCTCCATTGCTGGATCCTTCTCATTGTCCTCACCTCTCAACATTGGGTCAATTCAGTCCTTGATCTCTTTTCTATCTACTCACTCTTTTGGTGATATCATCGAGTCCTATGGCCATGAATACCGTCTGATGACTCCCCAGAATTATACCCCGAGATCTAACCTCTTCCCTGAATGCCAGACTCATAAATTCAACTGTCTGCTTAGCATCTCTATTTGGATATTCAAAACAACTCTTGAATCTCTTCTTCATATCCCGCTCTGCACTCTTGCACCCCCTACCCCCACCCTAGTCTTTCTTCTCTTGGTAAATGATAGCCCCATTCTATAGGTCAGAACACTTTAGCACTGTTCTTGAATCCTTTCTTTCTCCCACACACTACGTTCACCCCATCAGCAAATTCTATTGGCTTTGCCATCTAAATGGGTCCGGAATCCAACCCTGTCTCACCACCTTCGGTACTACCATCCCCTAGTCCAGGCTACCACGCCTTCCTTCCCCTACCACTAGCACCATCACAGTTTATTCTCCACACATTTACAAAAAGTTTACTCTGGCTGCTGTAAATTATATCATCTGACTCAGAAGATATTCCCAGGTCCTTACCATAACCCACTAGATCTATATGATGTTGCCCTCATCTCTTCTACCCCTCTCCTGCCTACTCACTCGAGAAACACTGCCCTCTTCAGGGTTCCAAGAACAATCCGTGCCCACTCCTGACTCATGGCCTTTGTATTGCTGGCTTGGAGTCCTTTGCCTACTGATAACCGTGTGGCTCATTCACTCCTTCTCTTGATTCATACTTCTGCTCAACCATCAACTTATGTGAGAGGCTTTTCCTATCCACTGTATCTAAAAAAATCACACCTCTCTCTGTCACTCTCTGTCTCTTCCTTTATTTTTTTTTTATTTTTATTTATTTATTTTTTTGTGAGGAAGATCAGCCCTGAGCTAACATCCATGCTAATCCTCCTCTTTTTGCTGAGGAAGACCGGCTCTGAGCTAACATCTATTGCCAATCCTCCTCCTTTTTTTTCCCAAAAGCCCCAGTAGATAGTTGTATGTCATAGTTGCACATCCTTCTAGTTGCTGTATGTGGGACGCGGCCTCAGCATGGCCAGAGAAGCGGTGCGTCGGTGCGCACCCGGGATCCGAAACCGGACCGCTAGTAGCAGAGCACGCGCACTTAACCGCTAAGCCACTGGGCCGGCCCCCTTTATTTCTCTTTTTAGTGATTATCACCACTTGACAAATTACCTGTATGTGTGTGTGTGTGTAATTTGTTAAGTGATATGAAATTATTTTCCAGCATATATCCAGATTTGTTATAAAATAACTAATGAGAGTGAGGGGAGTGAGGGAGAGAAAAAAAGAAGAAACTTAGTTGTAAATGTGTCTCAGATGCTGATCCCAGTGTCCTATTTTGGCTTTTCTCTAGCCCGCCCTTTTCTGGGATTGACCAAATGATGACCTATAATTTGATTCTCAAAGGAATTGAGAAAATGGATTTTCCCAGAAAAATATCAAGACGACCTGAGGATTTGATTCGGAGGCTTTGCAGGTGAGAATGACAATTAAAAACTTGTTCTTGTGGAAAGTGCGAAGGCTTCTCATTTCTGTTTCCACACATTTTTAGATTAGATATATGTTTATTTTTTGTACTTTTCTATGTAGCTAAATTATATTTAACGAAAATGATTTTCTGTTTTGCATCTATGCTAGGAGTTTGTGTTTACTTCATGTTATAGAATCACAATACCTACTTTTAGTTTTGAAGAGATCCAGATTTTTCAGGTTATCCTTGGGAATCATCTTTATCCATTATAGAGCAAGTAGAACCACAAACCTTAATTTAATAAAGGAGTAATTAATTTACAACCTTCTTATTTTGAGAGAAAATCAGAGGTGATGATAAAGTGTTACAATATGCCCTCTTTCAATCTTCATTTTAAAAAAAAAAGTACTCCTCTGACCGTGTTCTAAATACTCCAGATTTCTACTTATCATTAAAAATAATTCATTGGAGAACAGAAGACTTCTAGAGTTTTTGTGTAAACTTCACTTTTTCGCTGTTTTTTTTTGCACATTTGAACTTTTTTTAAAGCATTAAAATTTAATAAATTTAGAATGTGACACCTAGCTGTGAGTTGCCACAGAAATTTCTGCGTGTTTCTAAGATTCCAGCTCAGATGTAAATGATTCTCTAAAGCTTTCCTGGGTTTTCTCGGCAGAGTTGGTAAGATAGCACGCTCCTGTTCTTTTAAACATTTATTCATAGCTCATTCAAAGAACTGAGATCTATCTACCTGTCTGTATGTCTATCTATCTATCTATCAATCATCTATGTATCTAATTTGACTGTGGCTCCCCCAGAGAGGGGCATGTGTTTTTCATTTCCCTATACTCAGATGCCTCATCTGTAAATATTGTTGAATAAATAAATGAGTGAATAAAGAAAAAATGTTAAATTTTAATTTAAAGTTCACTTGAGCATAATTATTATAAACTACTTTTTAAAAAATTTTATTTTAGGCAAAATCCAACAGAAAGACTGGGAAATCTGAAGAATGGAATCAATGACATTAAGAAACACAGGTACATAGTTACTTCCCTGACAGAAAAATATAGAAATTTATAGAAAAATGTGATAATCTCGAAGCTTCTCCCAGTAGGCCACAAGGATCCCTTTACAGATGCTCAGTCTTTCCTTTTTGGTGTTTTATTTTTAATTTCTGTTTTACTAGATGCAGTTGCAATAATCAATCTCAAAGTGAATTCTCTAATGCTGGAAATTCATATCAAGAATGGATGAAGTTATGAAACAAGTTACAAAATCACATCTTCAAGTTATAGCAACTTAGCTTTTTTTTTTTTTTT